AACGCTTGTGCTGCCTGCCTGTTCTCAGGGTTGCAGAGTACATGCATCTTTATACACCATCATGGATCTACAGATGTAAAACTGATAACATTAGAAACAGCTTTTCATTATTCAGCTTTCTGTGTGAGACCTCAATTTTAGAAAATGTCAAGAACAGAACCTCACGTGCTTTAAAAGCTGACCTGAAAAATCAATATATATCAGTTCAGATCTTTCTTTGAACAGCTAATGCTGGGAATGCGGTTTTTAAACTGAGAGATTATGGGAAATTTTAGGGGCCGCTCCTGGGATTTGGGATGAAGCGTGTCTCATATGTACTGACATATAGAGGACCTTTAGGAATGAAAGGAGGCCCTTCAAATTCGAATGTGAAGCCAGGAAGAGATGATGATGATGATTTTATTATTATTTATTCAGCTTACATTCCACTATACTAGTCCAAAGACTCTCCAAGCAGATTACAATATTTTATAAAAACAATAAGAAAAACAACCTACAATAAAACAGAGAAATATGCAGTTGACGTCAGATATCAATAAGTTATATATTAAAGGTAAAAACAGTATAAATAATATCCAAGTGTAAAATCAGTTATCAAAATGTCTGGAGAAGAGGACTGTTTTCGCCTGGTGCCAAAAAGATTGTAAAGATGGCGCCAGGCGAACTACTTTTGGAAGGCCATTCCATAAAAGGGGTGCAGTCACTGAGAAGGCCCCTCTTCTGTTTGCCATTCTCTTCACCTCCTTAAAGGATGGATCTTTCAGAAGGGCCTCCTCATCAGATCTTAGGGACTGGGTAGGTATATATGGGAGCTGGCAGTCCTTCAGGTATCTTGGTCCTGAGCCATTTAGGGCTATATGTGTTAGCACAAGCACCTTAAATTGGGCCTGGAGCTCAACTGATAGCCAATGTAACCAATGTAATATTGGGGTGATATGGGTGCGCGAACTTGCTTGTACCAGCAGTCATGCCACCCTGTTCTGTACCAGTTGAAATTTCTGGACCGTCTTCAAGGGCTGCCCCACATGGAGTGTGTTACAGTAGTCAAGCCGAGAAGTTACCAGAGCATGTGTAACTGTGACTAAGCTCTGCCTGTCCTGGTAGGGCCGCAGTTGGTAAATTAGATGCAGCTGAAGGAAGGTGCTCCTCACACCTTCACTGAGTCTACCTGAGACTCAAGTGATCGTTTTAGGTCCAGGAACAACCTCATCCAGGACAGGTTGAAGGCCCACCCTCTGGGCAGATGGACCATCTACCAGCAGGATTGAGTTTCATTTTATTGGCCCTCATCCAGTTCATTATCGAGCTCAGGCAGTGATTCAGGACAGAGACCAACCCACCTGGGTTAGATGAAAACAAGATGTAGAACGGGGTGTCATCAGCATTCTGAGGATACCTCAGCCCCCACCTCCGCATGACCTCTCCCAGCAGTTTCGTGTAGATATTAAACTGCAAAGGGGACAGTACAGAGCCCCGAGGAACCCCACAGCACAATTGCCATGGGGCAAAACAACTGTCCCCCAGCATTGCCTTCTGGACACGGTCTGCCAGGTAGGAAAGCAGCCACCATAATGCAGTGCCCCCTACTCCCAGTCCATCCACCCTGTCCAGAAGGACACCGTGGTCGATGGTGTCAAATGCTCCTGAGATGTCCAGGAGAACCAGCAGAGTTGTACTCCTCCTCCCCTCTCCCAGCAAAGGCCAGCTCACAGAGCAACCAAGGCAGTCTCCGTCCCAAACCCTGGCCTAAAGCCTGATTGAAATGGATCTAGATGATGCCTGGAGCTGCTCAGCCACCACCTGCTCTAGGATGTTCACAACCGGCCTGTAATCTACAACAGCCCCTGTGTCCTGGTTTGGTTTTCTAAGAAGTGGTCTTACCACAACCTCCTTCAGAGAGGCTGGGGCCTCTCCCGCTCCTAGGAAGGTGCCGGCAGCCTCCTGGATCCTCCTACATTAGTGCTAGAATCAGGGCTGGTATCAAGGGTGAGTGTGGTTGGGCAGATGCCCGCAACCCAGAAGAGTCCTCTAGCCTTCTTCATCATCTTCACCACTGGAACCTGCTTGCTCCCCTTCCCCTCACTCTGGTCCAGACAGTGGTGGTGGTGAGAAGGAAGAGCAGCAGTGACTCCGGCCTGCTTGCTCCCTGGCTTTCTGCCGGTCAGACAAGTAGAATTGGGACGAGGAGGAGGAGCAGCAAGAGCAGTGGATGGCAGTGGCCGTGAGGTGAACTCACTGGGGATGGGGGCCCTTGGAGGATGCCTTGAACAAGGAAGGACTCTTGAAGATCCTGGAGCTGGCACTGAGTAGTTCAGATGTCTTGGGTATTTTCATAGGTGTACTATGACCATCATGTGCAGTATTATGAGCCAGGTGAACAGGAGGTGTTAAGCTGCAAATGAATGCTGCCCACTCCTTGCCCACATTAATATTTACTCACTGGCTTGTATGCGGTGCAGCCACAGGAGAGGATTGTGCTCTGCCTCAGAGCCAAGTTTCTTTTAAAAGATTGGTGGGCACTAAATAAAGTTAAGAAAATAGGCGTGTTTAGGCTGTGTGGTTCTGGTGTTAAAGGGATAGTTTGTCAGGAGATAACACTGTCAATTGCGAGAACAGGACTGTGGCTGTCTGAGAAGCTATGCTGTCACCAGAAGTGTGCCTTGAGCTTCAGAAAGCTGCCTGTAGCCAGCACTGTAACCCAGAATCCACTCAGGCTGAGGTGGCTTCTTAAGCTGTTAACATCTACTGCTCTTCAAGTTGTGGAGTTAAATATTGCTTCACACACACACGCTCATGGCTCTTGCCACGGATCTGCACCTGGCAACAGAGTTGTAAGGTAGTTCCTTCACACGAAGGGAGCCATGGAGAGCCATTGTGGAGTGGTGGTGAGAGAATGGGAGAGGGGACCTGGGAAATCCAGATTTTACTTCTCTCTCATGGTGACTTTGGGCCATCAGTCACTCACTCTCAGCTTGAACCTACTTCACAGGGTTGTTGTTGTGAGTTTGAAATGGAACTAAGTAAGCTGCCTTGGATTCCTCACAAGAGATGAGGGAAAAAAGCAGGATATAAGTACAGTGTTGTTGTCGGTATCATCATCTGAGTGTGCTAATATACTTTAGTTGTGTCCTGTGTTCCTTGGCCATTTCCTGCAGGTTAATATGTGATTCTGAGTATGGTTGGAGGTGGGTGGTACAGATTCCAGATCTGTTCTGGTTCCAGATCTGTTCTGCAGAGCCCAAAATGCCCCCTGGGACCAGTGGAAGGGATCTTTCTCAGCTAAGTGGATATGCAGGCTTGAAGAGGAGGGTGCCCAGAAAACGAAAGGTTAAGCTTTTGCCCCAGCGCTATCCCTCTTCCTGGCATGTTAATTAAGTTGTTAAAAAGAAACAATGTCATTGGAAGCTTTCCCCTTCTAAGCTTAATTGCATGGAGTGGGAACAACTCTCCTGAGAGACAGAGGCACAGAGAATGGGGTGAGGTAGAGATAGGGGAAGAGTGCAAAGAGTGGGAAAGAACGATGGGAACTGTATTTACCACCTCCCTGGAAGGTTAAACAGTCTGAGCAGGAGTCCGTCTCCAGGTGCCCGCAGAGCATTTTGATCCTGATGACACACAAGCTGCTTTTGTTCTTCTTGTGTATCTCTGCATTGGGTCGAAGTTCCTAGAGAGGTGTCAGGTAGCCTGGGGCTTCCGCATCTGTTCTGCCCAGGTTTCCTCCTCTGCATGTAGCAGTGTGTGTGTGTGTGTGTGTGTGTGTGTGTTGGGGTTTGGTGGTGTGGGGCCATAGCTCCCCACCACATGGCTAGCCAACCCAAGACACTGAAGGGCAGAGAAGGGGAGCAGAAACCTTTTCACCTCTTCTGACTGCTTGTCTCCTTTTTCTTTGTTGGCCCTTGCTGTGCACCCCCATCTGTGTTCCATCCATCCCCTTGCTCTCTCCCTTCCTATTAAATACCTCCCTCCCCCCCTCCCTCCCTCCCCTGCCTTGGTGTCACCATTGAGTGCCACTCACCAAGCATTTTGTAAACCCCACCAACAGAATTGTGTGCCAATTTAATGGATTGACATGGATAATGATGGATAAATGGGGCAATTTGTTGAAATATTGTTTGAACTGGATGAGAACTGAGAAATTAATTGGTGGTCACCCCTAATTTGCTGATGGCTTGTTTTCAGTTTGTCACTCTGTCTGATTTTGGTATGAATGTTGCCATGGTGTGTGTGTGTGTGTGTGTGAGAGGGGGGGGGGGAGAGATACATGACACGACAACCCATCATGGGTAACTAGCTACAGTGTGTTGTTGTGTCATCTGAACTCAAGACCAATTCCCACAGGATGGGTTTTTGAGTGGCAACAAGCTACCTTTGCAATCTATGGTTTGTTCTCCAAGTTGTTCAGCCTTCAAGGGATTGTTGTGTTGTCTGAACCTGCCAGAGCAATTTCATCATGGGATGCAAGGAATGACTAGCAAGCTTCTTAGCAAGAACAGGAATAAACCCTGCCGCACTATGTTTGTTTGCTTATAACTTACATAAACACTGTCCGCTACCTCAGTCTCGTGGTAGCGACTGCGTGGTCTTGCCACATTTTTTCCTGTGTGATGGTGTTTTTTGCTCAATGGTGTTTGCAATTTTTTCCTGTCTTTCACAGGTGCACAGGGACACTCTTTGTTTCAGCTGTCAAAGGGTGCGGGAAAGCAGAGTAGGTAATAGGTTGACAAGGCAAGTCTGCATATTGGCAAATTAGTCCACAGTTGCCAACGGGTCAGTTACTTCTTGGTTGGTTGAAAGCACTGGTCAAGAGGGAAATGTAGCAAAAGGCTGGTAATATTTTTCATTAGAAGTGTAGTGCTCTTACTGTTAATTGTCGAACTGAGACTTCTCCATTTCCTCCACTTTTTCAGTTCTTCCCCAAGTCTCCAGCCCTCCAGAAAGGGGAAATATTAGCTCCCTCCTGCTCTCTTTTGCATTCCCCGTCCATTTTGCTGCTGTTTTTCTGAGCACTCACTACTGTGTTACTGTGGTTCCCTGAAAATTCTAAATAACCCAGAAACAAAACTGGGGAATGCAGGTGAGGTACAGTGGAAAATATTGAAGAATCTGTTTAATTTGAAGTGATTTCAAAGAGAAATTAATTGGCTGACTCCTGTAAAATTTAAAAGAAATCCTAGTAATCATTTCTAAATTAAAAATATATGCAATTTTATGCAAATGTGTGCCATTTGGGCCTTATGCACCTAGTGACATGCCTTTTAACTTGAAGCTACTGAACCTGACAGGATAATCAAGCATGGAGTATATTCTGTGCTCCACTTGAGCATGGTCTGCCACAACAGTCTGGGATTTTAATTTTAACTAAGGCGCTCCTTTGCGATGACCTCTTGCCCTAAATAGTGTACCTGCAGCAGTCAGTGGGGCTTAACAGCAGTCATGAGAAGACAGACACAGCAGGGGGTTCAGAATGAATGCCTTGGATGCCATGGAAAGGTACATGAAGTGCAAGAAAGGTGTTTCAGAAATGGATCTTCGAGAGGGCCCTGTCGGAGGAGGTGGGAGTGCCTTGAGGAAGGAGGAGTGCAGCCGGAGCAAAGGAAAGGAATTGAGAATGTGAGTGTGAGAAAGGACGTGGGGTGTGTGGCAGGGACACCTGTGATGAGCAGGAGGAGGAGCACGGAGAAGTGGTGTGCTCAGGTCCACAGGCAGAGAGCCCTGAACTTGTAGGCTGACAGTGTCTTGATACAGCAGGGTGTGGGACAGGGAGCCAAGACAAAGCAAGCCATCACTGACAGAGGAGAGTCTTCCTCAACTTGGTGCCCTCCAGATGTGTTGGATTACATTTCCCATCCTCCCCAACAAATCTGGAGGGCACCAGGCTGAGAAGGGAGTGTGGGGAGGTGGCAAGCAGGGTAGGAGTAGGTTTTTCAGCAGGGGAGGTAAGCCAAATATCCGCAGATGAGGCACAACTCATCTCTGCTCATTTGCTCCCCTGCTAACATCTCTTAATCCTCCTCTGTCCCCTCAGGATTCCTACAGAAAGCAGGTTGTCATTGATGGAGAGACCTGTTTGTTAGACATCTTGGACACAGCCGGCCAAGAAGAGTACAGTGCCATGCGAGACCAGTACATGCGCACAGGAGAGGGCTTCCTTTGTGTCTTCGCCATTAACAACACCAAGTCCTTCGAAGACATTCATCAGTACAGGTCAGTAGAAATTTAAAACATGTCCATGGGAGGCTTCATGGAGCAGTCACTTTTTTTAAGAACAGGAAAGGCCTGGAGGAAGGGACCCTGCCACTGATTTTGCCTGGGTTAACCCTACCCAGGTGGCAGCTCACCCTGCCCCCATTGTCTAGCACCCTTTCACGAGGAGGAGCAGGAGGATGCGGTGGCAGCAGTGGCGGCTTTACCTGAGGATCCAGCTAAGCAGACAGCTCCTCTCAGTGACTGTGTGAAGCTCCAGCCAAGAGGATTGCTGGTTGACCTGGTGTGGGGAGCTCACTAAACGTATCATTTCTTTTAAAGGAGAGACAGCCTCTCCCGCTTCCTCCCAAATCAATGGAGCTGCATTGTTAAGAATCTTATGGTGCCAATTGCTTAAGAAGGAGGGTTGTGTGCTTCTTCAGGGAGAACTGGATGGGCTGATGGAGGCTTTGCTAGTAGTTTTACCATGATCACTCTCATGGTGTGCTTCACTACCCAGGCTGTCTTTAGAAGGCTTGAGTGCAGTGATCCAGTGAACAGACTTGCGGGAAATGATAAAGCATAAGTGTGAAGCTGAGCCTATTCTCTTTTCTTCTTTTCAGCTTGACAACTTGATAATAAGTGCATGGCCCCAGTTTGTGTTGGGACCAGTAAACACTGGGAGGAGAGGATTAAACCACCTCCCTCTTTGCCCCATTGCTTGCTGAAACTTTGTTTCTTTACAAAAAGAAAAGAAAAAAACAATTGTATATTGTCACACAGTGCATGATGCTTGCTTAAATTGTTTCGCGGTCAACGGGTTATCGCAAGCCAGCATTGGCAGTGCAGCACCGTTCTCTTTTTGGTGTTCTCCCTGTAGCTAGTGTTTCAGGGTTTGAAGGCTAAATGGGGACAGCCGTGATTGTGGCTTGCAGTGGCCTACTACATCATACGCAGGACAGCTTCTTGGCTACAGTCGCTTAATCTGTTCAGCTGGTGTCTTTCTTCTTCCTCTTCCCCAGTTTACTTGAGGTGGTTATGTACGAGTAGCTGGTTCGCTGGCAGTGAATTGATAAGTATCAAGAAAGGGCTTTCTGGATCTCCTGGGCAAGCCTCATAAAAATGAACAGACAGTGACAGATGTTCAGGTCTTTATGGAGCTGAAAATGCAGTGGGCAATGTTTGCTTTTTGGAGGGTTGCATGGCCCTCCCTGCCCTCACTGCATCATGAAATTTGCTGCCATTCAGATGTACCGCAGTAGGGGGAAAAATGAAAAATAGGACCACCTTAAAGGGCTGAATTGATGCTTTGCTGCCATACTTGGCAGCAGCAAAAAATTACAATTTTGCTTTATTTTAGGTGTGTATATTTTAATATCCAAAATCAATGTGCTCAAAGAGGACAGGGACCAACTTATGCATGAATTTCCTCCTCCCAGTGCCAGTTCTGCAGTGAAGGAATCATGAAAATTGGAAGCCATATGCATAAGTTTCCATGCAGAATACTACATGATTATGTTGCTTTAGGGGTGTGGCAGAAGGGAAAAGTTCCACGCTGCTTTTTTTGTAGGCAGTTCCCGAGTTACGAATGTCTGAGTTACAAATAGTCCATACTTAAGAACTGCCATAAGGCCTATTAATTTTAAAAAAATTACTGCAGAAATCATCACAATAGAGAGAGGAAGTGAAAAGGAAGAGAAAGGGTTGTCCTGCCCTACCCATCCGGAGAGAGAAATCTCTCTGGCAGTTCCTTGCTCCAAAGAGAAGACACGGATGCGAGTTTGGGTGGTGAGGGACTAGAGATATTCACAGTTTTTCCACTTTTATGGGGGTCCTGGGCCACTAACCCCTGTGAAAGGCTGGCTACATGTGATCTGACTTGCAAACAAATTTGACTTATATAAAGACAAATTTCCATTTTCTCAGGAATGAAACTCATCCATAATCCAGGGACTGCCTGTATTTCATATAGCCTGTTGCTATCTGGTAAAACATCTGAACAAGAGTGCAGGAAAGGTTAATTACACAAAGTTCTGTGATTTTTTTTTCCTAATTTGGTTTTTCCAACATTATTGTATGAGCAATTGGACTGAACCAGTGCAATGAAAATATAGTATTTAAAATGGGGTGGGAGCAGGGGAATTGTCAAGGTGGTGTGTACGATATATTTAGTCAAGAATGAATATGAATAACTCTTTCATTATAAATGCAACTCTGCTTTCTTTTGATGGTAGAAAATTCCCTGTCCTTTCATCAGAGAAATATGATTTGCATTTTCTGAAGTTTATTACTCAAAATGATGCAAGAAATTATGGGTGTGTCAGAGAGGGAGATTGAGACAGACGCACTTTAGTTCTAGCTTTCCTTGAAGAGACTCACTGGGAATCCCTGAGGTTAATGGAAAGTAATTGGCATGGACAAGCCCTCATGCATCTCTGTGTCCTCTTTGGTGTTTTCATCTTTTAAACTGGGAGCTGAGCTGCCCTCTGAGGGATAACAGAGCCCGGCTCTTTCCTGATGGATTCAAGGAAATATCTTGCACCTCGGTAGCAGTTCGGTGCCCTGGCGCTGTGGCACCGAACATAGTTTGTGCTCACGCTCTCAGCGTGGTTTGTTCTGCTCAGCACAGTGGGCCCTGTTCACCACACTGCAGCAGGAGTCCCCAGACTTTGATCTAGAAGAGTGTCTTGAGATGAAAAAAGAGGAATTCTTCTAGCTTCTACGAACATGAAGCAAGAGAGACTCTTTGTGCTGGGTGTAGGCAAGGCTCAGCAGATACTGTGCGAGTGCTGAAAATAACATGGAATGCAATTTGGAACGGCCTTCCTGAAGCCACCCTCCTGGCACCAAATTTGCTATCTTTTCAGTGCCAGGGTAAGACAACCCTCTTCTCAGATGCCTTTAAAGACCTCCCTGCTCATCCAGGGGCCCAAGGGGATTATCCCGGTGCCTTTTTCCTTTCATCTTGGCTAGGTATTTTTATTGTACTTGAATACTGTTTCAATTAATTAAAAAAACTTGCATACATTCTTTTATGTACACTATTTTCTTGTTTTTATATCATGTTGTGAACCACCCAGAAAACTTGGGCTACAGGCGGTATAGAAATGAAATAACATGAACTACTACTAGTGCTACTTATAACCGAGTACAGAATGATCTTCCTCAGAATGTCGGCTCGCCTTCTGTGTTCCTTTTCCATAAGCAAGAGCTTTATAGTTCTTACGGCTGCAAAACAATGCTTGAAATCATGTAGAACAGCCATCTGTAACCTGGTGTCCTCCTGCTGCTTTAGCCTATATCTCTTGTCATCTTGGCAAGGACTGAACCTGGCAGCTTATACATCAGAGCACACGCTTTACTGCTGAGCGGTTTCCCACTCACCCACCCCCTTTACTGTACATACAGAATCATGGAATTGTCAGGAATTGTCTGTGGCTTCTTAGCGGGGAGTGTCTGTTTCTTGAAAACAGCAAGGAATCTGGTGGCACATTAAAAATTGACACATGGAATGGCGCATGCATTTTCTAGTTTGGTTGTGCTGGCTGGGACTGATGAGAAGTGGAATATAACCAACCCTGGAGAGTTGCAGTTCCCCTGCTCACCTGTCTTCTGGCTTGCTTCATCCATTTGATAATGTTGCCTGGACGGTAGCCAGTGAATTGTATGTTGTCATACAATTATTAGTCTTCAGTGTGCCAGCAAATGTGAACACCATCAAGGAGTTTGTTGTTTCATGTTTGTAAAGTTAAAAAAAAGGTTGTCTGAAACCTTGGAAGCCAAGATTTGAGGAGCCCTGGACAGGGATTTGGCGCTTGGGTATACTGGGAGAACTTCTGTATCGGCTTCCTTTATGTGCCATAACTCCAGCTCCTCTTGTCTTCCAGACTGTCCTCTGCTGGTATATCTTTTTGTTCCCTTTTTGCATCATCCTTGTGGTTTTGACCTGCTGGGTGGGGTGCGAAAGTAATAGTCCTAATCCCTGAGTGTGTGTTTTGTGCGTGAGAGGGGTTAGATGAGGAGCTGTTTCATCTCTTCTGTGTTTCCACAACTCCTCACCCTTCTACCACTCCAGCACTTGCCCAAACATCCCCTGTTCTGGCTAAGAAAATATTGTGCTCAATTAAATTATGCACGGTGATTTCCCCTTGGGATACCAGGTTCTTCCAGCAGCAGCAAAACCAGCTTTTAACACTGAACAAACAGTGGTTAAATGTGATTGCTACAGTGGAAGAGTCAGTGTAATATAGTACCAGTGTGAACACAGTGTCTTTGTTAACTTACTACATGCTTTATTCTAAATACAGGAGTTGGATGTCTTTAGTTTGTGGCTTTTTGGCTGGTAGGGTGGACAAAATGAATCAGGAAAAGTTTAGTTTATATTTTTGATTAAAATTAAATTCCACTTCGTCCATCCGTCCGTCCGTCCGTCCTTCCTTCCTGAGGGAATGTATATGGTCTTTGCACCCATGAAAGTTTGAGGTTAACAATACAATCCTATAAATGTCTACTTAGAGATAAGTTCCATTGAGTTCAGTGTGGCTTACTCCCAGCCTCGTGTGTTTCGTTTTCCAAGTGTAGGAAAACAGGAAGATGCAAAAAATGAAATGCCCCAGGTTGATGGGTCAGAGCAGGGTTGCATACTATTTCATCGGAGAAAATGAAATTTCTAGAATTGGAAGGTAGAGTGTAAATGTTCATACTGGAGACAAGATCAGATTAGTTCACTTCTACAGCAAAGCCTCATTTATCTCAGCAGCCTCATTCAGATGTAATGCTGGCACCCATCAGAAATCTGTGGATTCGTTAACCCGTGAACTGTAGTAACATGCACTGCAAGCAAGCTTCTTCCTGTTTACATTAACAACTATTAAAAGCTGTGTTATCATGAGATTTAGTTGTAACTAGATTATTTTTGAATGAGGAAGACATTTGGTTTTTTATACTTTTTCATTAAAATGGATTCTTAATTTTAAAATATTAAAATTGCTTTCATTAAAACAGGTAAAAACAACAATAATGCTTTTTCACCCAGATGGCAAGGTGTATTATGGATGGTGACCCACCCTTTTCACTCAGTTGGGACAGAATGTCTCTAGACTTCTGTTCTGCTCTGTTTGTTATTAAACTTCTCTTCTGCTATATTGGCCCAAAGACCCTCTAGAGGGATTTTTGTCCTCTGTTCAGGCTCCTCAAAATAAGGGCCCCATAGAGCCAGCAGTGGCCTTTGACTAATATGCTTCACTTCTGCTTTCTCCTCTGAAGGGAGCAGATCAAAAGAGTGAAGGACTCTGACGATGTGCCCATGGTGTTGGTGGGGAACAAGTGTGACCTTCCAGCCCGAACTGTGGAAACGCGGCAAGCCCAGGAGCTGGCTCGGAGCTATGGGATTCCCTACATAGAGACATCTGCCAAAACTAGACAGGTAGGTAGGCAGTAGGTCTGAACGAAAGTCCCCGCCAAAACCCCCTTCCCCCCACTTCAGAACTGAGAAGAATCCAGTCTGTTCTCCCATGAAAATGGAATCATGGCGCCTGTTTGGCACCCGTGTGCATCAGTGTGGCTCTGGACACCGTTCTTGGTGGTCTCCAAGGTGCCCTACCTCCCACTTCTTTAAGCATTTTCTTACTACCAGTTGGAATTGCTTCAAAGCAAAGTAATGTGTGCATGCCGGTGAGTATACAAAGTAAAGTCTGTCTCTGTTGAAACTGTTTTCTGTTCACCCTAAAAACTGTGGGCTCAGAGGAGCTGTTTAGTGTGTTGGGGTTCAGATCTCACCAGTCTTTGGTGCAGGATGCCTGTCCTCTGCCCCACCTCCCAAGGCAGCTTGCCTCCCTTGGTTCTGCAAAAGAACAGCTGTTGAGCTTACCTTTCCCTTTTGTGCAGGGCTACTGTTGCTGCGGCCAGTGGTCGAACTGGCACATTGCCCCGCTGAGCAAACTGCATACATTCGCTGTCAGGCTACCAATGCTCTCCTTGCTAATCGTATCTGCTAATGGTCCTTGAGTGTGAGGGAACAGAAGCAATCACAGGAATTGGTGTGGGCCTGGAATGGAGTGAGCAGTGGGTAGATGTTTGGGATGTCAGCTCCCAGAAGCCTCAGACAGCATGGCCAATGCTCGGGAATGATGGGAGTTGAAGTCCGGCATTATGTGGAGGCCTACCCTCTCTTTATCCCTGACCTAGAATGCACTTGGCTTTCTCCCTGTGCTCTTGGGCACATTAAGAACACAGTGCAGTTATTTGTGTGAGGAAAAGAGCGTGTGAGCCAGTTCACTGCAAAAGGATCCTGTGTATGTCTTTTGGATCTTTTAATTTGAGCTACACATCTTTACAAAGCCTTTTAATTCACACTGAAATGTACAGTTACTTCGTTTCCACACTGTATTAGCTATGTTCACACATTGAGAACTGGCAACACTGGGTAAGATATTATTAGCAACCTTTTAAAATGGCTGCTTTGATGTTTCCTTTCTGTGTGTGGTCTTTCTTCATGATGCATTGCTGCTCTCTTCCAGGGGGTTGAAGATGCCTTCTATACTTTAGTGCGGGAGATACGGCAGCATAAATTACGCAAATTGAATCCTCCAGATGAAAGTGGCCCAGGCTGCATGAATTGTAAATGTGTAATATCATGACCAAGGTAAGGAACTGGGGGAATTGTCTCCCTCCCTCTCTCAATATTGTGCACATCAGCCAAGTACCTGCACATTTTCTTCTGCCTTCTGAATGGGAACCAGGCCAGGGGCAGTTAGAATGAAAAGCAAATAAGCTCTATTTCTTATTTATTTTTCCTAGTGAGTATTTTTCCTTAGCTACTCACCTTTATGAATTTGATGTCCTTCAGACATTTTGGAGGACAGGATGGAGCTTGTCAAATGTGGACTGCAAGTTGTGTAATTCTAAAGCAACTGAACAAGTCAGGAATCTTGGGTGTAGACTGTCAAGAATGGACATGATGATACTCACTTTTATATATACTGTTGATTAGAAGCAGTGACTGGGTTCATACAGCACAATAACCCACATTCAAGGGTTGAGTGTGTTTTTTATTCAAATGTGTGTTGTTGAAATGTGGGGTAACGTGTTGTCTGAACCCAACTGCTCTAACAGGCCATGGTTTGATAACCACAAATAAGCCACAATTCACAATCCAACAACAAGGGTTTTTTCATGCTTTGTTTATGATTAAACCATGGTCTGTTAGTGCACCTGGGTTCAGACAGCATAGAAACAGCGCGAGTCAGAAGGGGTCTTCTGAGCCATCTAGTCTGACCTCCGGCTCCAGCCGGCTCCACTCATGACATGTCTGCCTTGATAACCTACATTTCAGCAGCACCCCAAGCTCAACACGCGAGTCTGGGTTATCAGATTGTCTAAACCCAGCCAGTTTCTTTTGTCTGTTTCAACCTTTTAAGCTCTATTGCTTTCTTCGCCTTGATTTTCCTCTCCTCCTCCAGATTGGCAGCCTCTGAATGATGCTTCCTGTTGCTGCTCGCATGGAGGGCTTTCAGGGATTTTTTGAATAGTGGGGATGCTGATGTCATCTGCTACCACTCAGATTTCCCTTTCCATTCTGAGCTTAGCTTCAGTACTCTTGGTAGCTTGGGGTCGAAGTGGGGATGAAGTTTCTCAGCAAGGATGTATAATTGTGGGCAATTATCTCTGTTGCAATGCTCAAATATTTTGGAGTGTATGGGGATATTAGCTTTATAAAAACAAGCCCCTAGAAGATGAAAGCTGCTGGAGTGGGTATGGATCAATGCAGCTGCCTGCAATTTAGTTGCTTCTTGGCAGCATGGCTGTAGCGAGCATCTTGCATTGCAGAAGGTTCCTCTACCACTGCTCATTTTAGGTGATGTTGGCACCGTTAGATTTGACGGTAACGTGCCTCCTTCGTAGGAAGGCTCATGAAGTTCATGTCTGCATCAGTGACGAGACCACGTTTGTCCTGAACTGAGTGAGAGCCGGGCAAGCTGCACCTCAGTGGTCTGCAGCCCTGTCAGAGCTTCAGAACCGGGCAGTGTTCAGAACTCAAGTGTTTGATATTCACATTCCAGTGAAAGATGACTGGAATGCAGACTGAAGATGCATTGCCGTGATCTTCCGAAACGCCGTGTTACTCGTAACGCTTGTTCCCCCTCAAGTGTTTGGAGCAGGTGGGAGAGGCACGCAGGGGAAGGCTCATTCTCTGCCCTTAAGATTGCACTCCTGCCTGCACTTCTCTTGGGGCTAAGCCTCAGTGAACTTTGTGAAGGTTACTTTTGAGCAGACATGTGCTGTAAAACACCTATAGCCCTTGGATATATAGGTGCGTAATAGGAAACCTCACGTAATCTGCCACATCCCTTTACTGAGATCCCCCTGCCTTGGCCATCCTGGTGGTTTGGAATAAAGCAAAGCAAAGCAAGACCAGCCAGACTGGTTGGTTTTTTAAAATCTAGATAACTTTGGGGTGATTATTTTTTTGCACATCTTCTGCCATCTCCTGTGCTTTCAAAAAAAAAAAAAAAAAAGAGAGAGAGAGAGAGAAGGCACAGCTTGCAGTAGAGGTTAACATGGAAATTAAGCATTAGGAGTGGGTGGGAGGTGGGGCAGGGGGAGAAAGGCAGCCTCGGATATTGAAATGAGCCATGCCCCATAACAAAGGTTCATGCTATCAGGATCATCAGAAGAAAGTTTTTTGTCTGGAGAAGATCTCTTTCCTGGTCAGAGATGCAGCCTTTTGATTCTGTGCGTGAGTACTAAGGCCAGTAGATAGGACGAAAACCTTTAAAATGTGATTTAGTGGCTTTCCTGCACAGTCTAGAGAGAAACTGTAGTAGCTGAGTAAGAAGTAGAGCTTTCCCCTCCTCCTTTTCTTCTGGAAATAGCATTTGCAATAGCAAAAAGAGGGAGAGGGATTGAGAGGGAGAGAACCACACTTGACTCCACCCAAATAATCACAACCGAGGAGTGAGTGGATGGCAAGAAAGATCTCCCAGCAGGCCCAATTCTTGAGCTGCTCCTAGGGCAGCTATTGTTGTGGGGGGGGGGGGTCCAGATGTGCAAATAATCCAGCTGTCTGAGAGTATTTCCTCTGGCCAGGGATATGAGTTTGGGTGGGTGGGTGGTCATTTCCTGTTCTTTTGCTGCTGAAAGCACACGGATGACTCTTGAATGCTCCGTAAGCTATGTGCCCTGAGAGAGATGCTCCTGCCAAGGGCTGTGAGGAGGAGCAAGCCCCGCATTCGCCAAGCCTGCGTTCATTCTAACATCCCCTGCACTGCCCACACTGTGTATGGAGTGCACTGCTCTGGCCCTCCTGAACGTACTTTCTTGCTGGAAAGCTGCCTGTGAGGAGAGCATAACTTGGCAATTGGGTTGTGGGTGTGGTCCTGGCTCCCTTTTGCGCAGCAGGAAATGGGAGCTTGTTTCTCCTTGATTATCTGCAGTACAAGCTTTATGCTGGACAGCATCTTTCTGTCCCCATGAGACTTGGAGAATTATTCAACCAGAGGTAAGGTCACAGGAAGTGTGGTGGGTAGTCAAAGGGAGATGGAGCCAGAGAAGCGTCAGCATTATTCACAACAATAGTTTTCCAACCTAGTTTTCTAAATATATGCATTATTTTATATAGGAAAGGTTCACCACCTTACCACGCTCCTGTGGTGTTACCTGTCAGGCTTGGTTGAGCTTAGTTACACTGCCAGCTGGAGAGAACGTCACTGGATGCCTTCGCTCCCTATCAGTAGAGCTGTGGGCTGTCCCTAGCTTAAAATCTGTAAGAAGCCCTTGGCAGTGGTCAGCAGGACATCTAGGACATGGCTGTGATGCCCAGCTCTGTTTCCTCTCACATCTCAGGAGAGGCTGTGCATGTTCTGAACTGGAGACAGCCATGGAGTGAATGAGCACTAATAAATGGAAACCAAATAAGGGAGAGCTCCTGGGGTGAATGGGTCCAAGGTTCAGGAACTGGGTTCTTCACCAAGGTTTTTTCACATCCAAGATGGTGTTCTAAAGGAACGGGCCCTGAGTTTGAAGGTGCCCCTGGATCCATGTGTTACTGGAGGTCCAGGGGACCTCAGTGGCCTGGAATACCCATTAGCACCTTCCGCTGGGGCATCAGCTGTGTCCATTCCTGGATCGGAACAGCCAGCCACTGTGGTTCATGCACTGGCCACGGCACAGTCAGAATACCGCGTGCGCGCTCTGCTGGGCTGCGTTGCAGCAGTACAGAATGCAGCCGTCTGGGTGCTCATTGCGACCCTCAGCCATGTTTGTGCCACATCTCTGTTGACAGCACTGCACTGACTGCCTGTTCTCTACCAAGCCGTGTTTATGTTCCAAAATAAACTTGGGGCCAGAACACCTAGCAGATTGCCTTCCCCTATGTACACCCAGCCAGGGAAGGTTTGCTGGTCATTCTGTGACCAAGGGAATCTCATGTGACAAGACTTTTCCATCCTCTGGAAGCTCCTCCCTAATGTGGTTTAGGAAGCACAAAATGATGTGTTTAAATGTCTCCTGAAAATATACCTGTTTCCACAAGTTTTCCTTGAATTGTAACTGATACAGAACTGCTGCTTCATTTGACTGCACTTCTGCAAGTGTGATGAACCAATAAAAACAACATTTTCAAAAGTGCAATTTCCAGGGACTGACTCCAGCTGCATTTTTGGGTTGTGGAAAAAAATTGAAAAGAAAAGCCAAGGAATGAGTGATGCTCTTCCAAGATGCTGTTTTAGCATTGATGGAAGGGCAGTCACCAGTGGGATGATAAAAACGAGCTGCAGGTTTCCCCCTTCTTGTTGAGTGGCCCTGCAGCCATTCCCAACAAGCCACAATAAAATTGCCCCGTCACGTTAAGGACAGCGCCACAACAGCTCCTAGACACGCCATGCGTTCTCAGGGTGTCTCGTTCATGAAAAATAGGACAGCTTGCAGGAACTGTGCTGAAATCAGCCGACACGAGAATCTGTCATTGCTGTTTACGTATTGTGGGTTGTTGTGTCATCTGAATTGGGTCAAAGAGTGGATAGGTGTGGCTAAATGACAGAAAATAGAGTCAGGCCTGTTGTTTTCTGTGGTGGCGGAGGAGGAGTTCCTGCAATGCTGTCATTGCTTGCATATCCTTAAGTCTTGTTGCTGCACTCAGCAGCCGCTGCCAAATGCCACAAGTTGTTCCTTCTACCTGTCACAGGCTGCTTTCCCAGCGGAGACAGTCTGCCGGTTCACCTGTAAATGCCTGCGTGGCAAGGCATCGCATGGTGCACTTAGATGTATGACTAAGGCTTTATGTTTGGCTTGGGTAGTCGACAGCAAATGCGAATAATTCAGACATCTGCTCACAAGAAAGCCATTGCTGTTATAGTGCTGCCCAAACAGCTAGGGAGGTGTTGCATTTATAGCTGGTCTTTCTTCGTGGAACTTAATCTCACATAGGAGATGCTTCCAGGTGGAAGCTCCTAGCAGTACCATTCAGAAGGCATTCTGCAGCTATTCCGTGTGTTCTTCCTTAACAAATGGGGGTAGGGGGAGAGACTGAAGCTGCAGAAAGAAAACATGGGAGGGGGATGAGTGCAATATGAGAGTGGGGGGGCATAAAGAGATGCTGACTGGAACCCCTGTAAAATTCAGTGGAGGCAGGTGATTGCACTATAAAAACCTTCTCTGTGAAGGACTGAAACAGAGAAAAGGAAAAGTGGAGGCAAGTATCAGAAAGGGCTGCCTTTAAAAAATGGTTGCTACTCCAAAATACATTTTGCACTGTGTGGCTTGCCTTTGCTGCTAAGTAGTAGATTTTTTTTAATGGCTTCATAAACGTGCGGCTCTGCTTGTGAAGGGCCAGCTGTAACAGGCCAGATTGCTCCTGCTTTTAACTTTAACCACTTGCCACACAAGGGTGGCTGCTGCTGTGCTCTGACGCCTCAGGAGCTCCACACCCCCACTAGCCAAGCCAGTCAGTGCCTGCGCAGGAGCAGGTTGAAGCAAAGCCTGGCATCTGCCTATCTTCCCTCCAAAGCAAGGCGTCCCTCCTATGGATCCTCCATCCAGGGGCGTTTTCTTTGTAGCTCATGAAGTGTTACAGGGTTTATTTGCAGTTCCCCAAAATCTCTCATGTATCAGGAAACTTGCCTTGTTTGGTTTTTTTACAGGAGCTGTCCTAATCCCTGCCTTCTCTGTTCCCAGCTCACCAGACTGTGACTTGGAGGGGTTTCCACTATGTGTAGCACGGCGATGGAGGTGACATGAAAGAAGAATCAAATGGATTCAAAGAAGGGGACAGACAAGATGGTGTCTGCAGGCCCCAAGAGCTCTGCATGGACTGTCTCAAAACTTTACCAAGGCCTGCAATGAACTCATTTTATTTTTTTAAATATCCCTTCCCTTCTCTTTTGCCTCCTCCCCATCCCAGCAACTTGTACAAAGCCACAGATTGAATCACAGTAAATTATTATATGATGGTCTTGACACTGGTTCCTGCATCGCTGTTCCTGGCCCAGAGAACTGACTAGCGTTGCCTTTCTTCTGGAGCAGGCACTGGCGGAGGGGAGGGCAGGGCAGGGGAGGGGAGGCAAGGCCCAGGCCCAGCAAGGAGGCGGGTTGTTGCTTCAGTCTTGTCTGAGCTCCATTTCTCAGGGGACAAAGGCTGGTTTGATCTGTGGCTGGGCCTGGCATTTTATAAGGAGCAGATATGCAATTTGGGGGTTGAAAGGCTGTGTCTCCAAAAGAAGGCTAGCAGTCGTCTGGGGAAGATGAAGCCTCTTTGGAAGGTGCTGCTGAGAAGTTCCATCTGCCATGGTCTCTTATTCCACAGTGGTAAGGAATGCTTACCACTATCCTGCGTACGTGCTTTCAAGTGGTCTGAACCATTTTCTTCTGTGGCTGGTGGGTGGGGTAGGTGAAGGCATTAAAAATTACTTCTTTTGTAAGCAGGTTCCCAACTAATCTCAAGTGGTTGTTCCCAGAGCTTCATTTCACTCCCCACTGCCCACATCAGTTTCCCCCTGGTGTAAATAGAGAAGGTGACCAGTTGTCTGCTTCTTCGTGATCTCTGTGCATCATCCACTTGGGCTCTGCACCTGCATGGGGCCTGTTGTTGGGGAGATTGTCCTGGCTAAACTCGTTCCAGTTTGAGTCCTTCCCCTTGGTATATCTAGGAGGAGATTTTCCTCAGTCCTATTTGGACTGCCGTTGTGGGAGCCTCACATCTTTCCTAGGGATTTCTAGTGCTGTAGGGATTTCTTGATCTTTCTATTGCTCACTCTATTTCTCATTCACTCACTTTGAACCATTTTGGATTTCTTCCGAAAACCCTGCTTTATCCCTTGATATGCTCCTTCCCTTCCCACCAGAAAAAGATCTTTTATTTAAAAAAACCTCTCCTATCATTGACTCTTTTTTGACCCTTTTGTCTTACCAGACTGTTCTACTTTCCCCCATGACAGTTCAACTGGTCTTTAGGCAGTGCATCTCATGTGGAAGCCATTTACCTTCCATGGATGGATACTCCCTGCGCCTCTTCTGTCTCGGACAGGACATTGCATGGACTCCCACCTGCACTGCCAGGTGTTCATGCACCAGGCCTGGTAGAATTGAGCAGGCTGAGTCAGGGCTGAGCTCCGGAGCTGTGCCCTTCAGCCACTGACTCAGCCATGGCTGTGCCGCTAGAGAGCCTGACCACCTTCCAGGCGGCTTTTCCTTCCCACCCTCCATTGGCAGCTGCTGAGCCTCCACCAGCCGCCCATCTGTCCCGCCCATGCCTGGGTATCTGGAGAATGAAGAACATTGGACAAGGAAGTGGGCCAAGAAGGCTCAAAGGATAGCGGAGGCTCTGAAGGAGAAGATGAAGCACCGGAAGTGGCCACAGCACCATCCTTCTCCAGCACCGCTTATGCCAATACTGCTCCTGCAGTGGTTCTTGGGCTGGTTCCTGCAACAGTGACCCAGTCCTTCTCTGAGGGGGGCATTTGACTTGGCACTCCATGCTCTGGCCTGCCTGCAGCCTTTGTTCTCCACTGCGAGGGGGCTGTTCACCGCCCACTGGGAGCAGGGAATCACTAATGCCACCACTGGGATCTTCACCATGCAGAACCACCATCTCCCCATGCCATCCCTCGCCTCCAGCTGCAGGCCGAGAGAATGGGCCAGATCTCTGCTGCTGACTCCGGGCTGGAAGGCCTACTGGGTGCTGCCGCCTCACTGCCACACTACTACTACTGTGGCTGCCCAGGGGGGAGAGAGGCCCCGGCAACCCTGCAGTTCCTACAGTGGGGGCCCTGCAGCTGCCACCCGGAGGAACCCAAGATGCCTGTTCAGAATCTCAGCCACTTGCCGTGCCAGAGCAGCCTGCCTTGCCAACTAGAGTCATTGTCTTTAGGCTTGGAGAACGCACCAACTCCAACACACCACCACTCCTTGAGGATCTGCTTAACTCCTCACCTGGTGACATTCCAGCACAGGGGGCGGGATCCCCCTTCAAGGACCTGGGAAGTTTCTTCAAACAGATTTGTGGATGGCAGTGTCACTTGGACCGGAGACGTAGCAACTGGCTGAACACACAGTGTATCTAGTCTATGACCTTGTCTGAATGGAGGACGTGGTGCTGGTTGCCATCCCGTTTCTTCTGACCCTCCAATCCATGAAGGGACCATGAGAGGCACTGGCCCAGCCATAGCCTACGTCCTGCTGCTTGGAAAGCCTCTACTGAACCTGGGGGGGCAGGAGCACTCGATGCTGATGGACTGAGGGGGCACCATGTGGATTCTATGACAAGGAAGATCTATGCAGCAATGGGGCTGGGTCTCTGTATCTTAAATTAAGCGGTGAGCACGGGAAGAGAACAGCTCTTCCTATGGAGGAAGATGGGCGCCCTAGCTGAGATCCTCGCCGAACAACACTGGGATTGGCTAGGATGTTTCAGCTGGAGTCCCTCCAGCTATCCTAGCAGCAGATCAACATCGCCCACCACCACATGCCCTTTTGTGTGTGGGGGGAGGCTTCTTCAACACCCAAGTCAGACAGGAAGCTTGACACAGTCCATAAAAGCAGGACCACAGCAAAGAAGATGGGCCTTGTGCCCCCACAGCAGCATCAGAGGGTGTGTAAATGGGCACGGGGGCTCCTCCCATACCAGCCCAGGGCACAATACCAGAGCTGCATGCCAGCAGCAGCCTGTCTAACCACACAGGAGGGACACCACCTCTCGCTTCCAGCAGCTGCAGAAGAAGCGGCTGGACACCGATAGGCAATGCTGCTGGCCGCAGCAGTGAGCCAGTTCCCCTGCTTGAAGGCACCCTCCAGCACTTCACTACCGGTGCCATCTGCTCCTGCACCAACAGTGGGTCCAGTGCTGGTTCCTGTGCTGGTCCTGGTAGAACCAGCAGCGAGCCGGTTCTCTGTTCCATGCATTCAAAACCGCCCTCTCCCCTCTTGCTGGAAGTAGCCATGTTGCTGTCGGAAGAGCACCAAGGGGACTCGTTTGCCTCCATTGATCCAAGGGAGCCATACTTCCATGTCACTGTCCATCCAGACTACCTGCATTTTCTCCTGTTACAGATCAGTCCCATTGCCTTCCAGTTTTTCTATGCTCCTGTTCCACCTCTGCACAGCCCGGAGTCTTCACCAAGTGCATGGCCATGGCCTGTGCCCACCTCTGGCTTCAGGGGAACCAGGTCTTCCCCTGCCTGGATGACTGAAAGCTGATTGTCCTGTCTCAAGACAAACTTTTAGACTCGATGCTGGTCACATGATCTCTTAGGCACTCTGGGACTGCGTATTAACTGCAAGGAATCTGTCCTTTCTCTTTCTCAGTCCACTCCACGTCGGGGAGAGGCTCCATACCATGATTGCACAGGCGTACCTTTCAGCAGGCGGCAGCAGTGCTGATCGATTTTGCCTCGTGGCTTCAGGTCAAACCCAAGATGATGGTGTGGTGGGTGTAATGGCTTCTGGGCCCTATGGCAGCAATGGTTGTGGTCATTCCCTTTGCCAGGTTATGGATGTGGCCAGTGCAGCTCTGGTTCATGTGTGCCTGTTGGTCCCAATGCAATTCAGTCCAGAAGCATCTGGTGCTCCCATATTTGGTCTGGACGAGCCTCGCCTGGTGGACCTGCTGATGCCACTTGGCAGAGGAAGCTGCCTTCATGCTAAAGGAACTGGACCTGACCCTGATGGATGCATCATGCCTGGGCTGGAGAGCATACTGTGGCAGCAGCAGGACCCATAGACTGTGGATGGATTGGGACCAGAGGGAGCAGATCAACTGCCTCATGGTCTAGAAGGCACTGATTGTGCTCTAGTTCCGCCTTAGGAAAAGCATGTTCAGGTCACCTTGGACAACCCTATGGTGGTGTTCTACCTGAACGAGCAAGGAAGAGCATGGTCTGCATCCCTGGCTTGGGATGCAGACTAATGGTTTGGGATGGGTGCCTTGTCATTGTCATTGTGGTTATCCATTTGGACAGGATTCAGAGTATCACAGCTGATGCTCTGAGCAAGAGGACTGAGGGGTCCATGAATGGGAGTCCTGACGCAGTTCTTCATGACCTGGGGTACCCCTTTGGGGGACTTCTTTGCCATGGTGACCAACATGTGTGATGCCATCTGCTCCTGAACTGGGGTTGGCAAGGGCTCAATGAGAGATGCAGTCCGTCCTTCTGGGAAGAGACTCTGTTCTGCTTGGTTCTCACCATTCCGGTTGATCACCAGGATCCTGAGGAAGATCTGAATGGAAGGCACCTCTTGTATCCTCCTCATACCGTAATGGCCTAACAAGTGTTGTTTGCCAGCCTTCTCTGCCTGTCCAGCCACAACTTTATTTGGCTCCTGACATCGTCTCCTGGGACCAAGGGATGATCCTTTCCCCGGATGTTGACACCATCCATTTTAGAGTGTGGAAGATGGGCCAGTAGATCAGGAGGCCCCCCTCCCAAGATACAGGTGATCCTGGATGTGGCCCTGCAACCAAATACGAGTTCATACACTGCAAAATGGAATGCTTTTGTCTAGGAAAAGCCTTTGATCCACATCGGGCATCCATCTGGAAGATCCTCAGCTTCCTCCATGCGCTGCACTCGAGGCCTGAAACCGTCCTCCATTAAAGTATATTTGACTCCCACCTCATTGTTCCACAGAAAGGTCAATGATTTCTCAGTGTTTTCACATCCGCAGTCTGATTGATTCTTGAGAAGTCTGTATAACCTGGTATCACACCCTTCATGCTGGGTTGGAACTTGTCTTACGAAGTCCTCCTCCAAACCTTAGGCCACTGTGGACTTAATCTCCTCTCAACGAAGGTCGTGTTTCTGGTGGCAATCACTTCAGCCAGGTGAGCATGTGTGTGATGCACTGAGACCTTGAGGAAGAAAGTAAGGTTGCTTACCTGTAACTGACATTCTTCAGTTGGTCATCTGTGCATTCATACAACCTGCCCACTGGCCCCATATTGGTGTCAACAGCTCCAGTTCCGC